GACGCATCATCTGTAACATATATTCCTTTCATGATAACCATAGTATCATTCTTTCTACATACACTTGGCATCACTTTAACTATAGAGCCCATTTCTTTGTCATTTCGGAAAATGACCATTCTTGACACAAACCCTCGCGGTTGGTCTACTTACTAACCTCTAACTTATAGGGTCTTTATCTACACATCTATACCCATGTACCTAAATCTTATAGCATGGTTTATCACAAAACCAACTCATACTCTGATTCTTTTTCATATCCCACAGTTTAAGTCTAGGTGTGGACATATCAAACCTAATTTACTTAAATTATAGCTTTGGTACCAATTCTAATAACCTGGACTTTTCTTATCTAGTTATCTATGAATTATCAAAGTTATTTCTACAAACTGTGGAATTTTATACTTTCAAAAACAAAACACTTTGCATCCCAAGGTATATTCGGGTTTATAATAAAACATAAACATAATTTACAGCAACAAGGTACACGAAAAGTAAAAACTACATCTATACTAGTCCTTGTGCTCTTTCCTCTTCTCATATAATGACTAACAGCTGAATCTATAAAACATGAAAATCTACATACATCGAACCACAGGTCTGGTGAGTTATATCTTTTTTCATGTAATCATATTCTTCTTCTTATCTTTTTTTTCTTTACATATTCTAACATTTTTTATCTTCTTCATACTCTATAAATCTAATTTATTCTTTCTCTTAGAGCTTATCCAACTATTCTTTCTCTTTACATACTCTTTTATTCTAAGCTTGCCTTCTCATCTCATGCACTCTCTTAGCCTCTTCGCAGGCTCGTCTCATACTTTTCTCATACTTTATCCTCACCTCTTATCATCTCATATTGCATCCTTCTTATGCTCTATTCTTCTTTATATCTACCTCAAAATCTTCTTTACACGTGATATAGTCTCACCATATCCTTACATAACATTAGTCATATGGACATTCTATCTCTTTATCTCATCAATAGATCATTTCTATTACTCATCTACTACTTAACTTATTAAGTACTTAATATATATCTTCATCTCATCTACATAGGTATTCTACACAATACCATTATCATCTACATATACCTATTTTTCATTATATGATTACAATGCATATAATCATATTTGATCTCTTTTTAGCATCTCTTAAGTATTTAACAAATACCATTCTCATCCAACCATGCATATTCTATGTATATATATATATGTGTGTGTGTGTGTGTGTGTGTATATATATATATATATATATATATATATATATATTAAAACATATAATCATTATCTAGAGAGTGAGAGAATGAGAGCTATAAATCACCTTGTTATTTAGTGAAAACTAATTATCCTTGGCTCCATTATTAGATTGATGCATCTTGATCCATATTCTTTCCCTTATTAGATTACACATATCAAGTTTCTTAAGAGTTACATTTGCCTTGTAAGAGCTTATTGACTCTTTTTGTCATAATGACCACTTAATGGATTATAATTTTATCTTCTAAATTTCAAACTCTTAACATATTCCAACTAATGAATTAAGCATCTCATACTACCTAATTCATTATAATCTAATCCCTAATGCATCAATCATAGTCCTCACTAGCTAGGGTTTCAAACCCTAACTTTGAATAGATTGATTTCACCATGGAAATCACTTCTAAAGCTTGATTAAAGTTTATAGACACTCTCATCAACATCATAATCAAGCTATAGGTTGATCAATTCAACCTATACAACATATCAATTCCATGCAAAGGTGGGGATGAGTTCTACAACTCTATTAAGTCGCCTCTTATGGACTTAATACAAATCTTAATCTATTAAGTCGCAAAGCTGGCCCAAAAACATAAAATTTCCCATTTTATCCTTTTGGCTAAAATTCATCTTCTCGTGTATTTCTTCTATTGAACTCACTTATCTAACTTATCTTATCCATTTTCATGAAGTCATAGCTTCATAAACTTACAAATTTATCATAAATGACCATTTTTCCCTTTTGGTTCATATTTTGCTAAAATTCAAATCTCTTTAAATTGTCCCTAAATTGTGGGTTCTTACAATGGTGTAGATATAGCCTTCTTACTATCCAAGGAAAACCACAATAACACTTTCTTAACGTTTTCCATTTTGTGAGCTTGAGATTCTCTAGTTCTTGTCTCAAACTATCTATATACCTAAAAGGTTCCTTGCTAACCCAAAGTCCTTTTATTTTAAACTCAAACTTAATGAATGGTTTAACTTGTTAAACCCCAAAAAAAACTCATTGAAAACTATTAACATGTTGTTAACATACAAGTGTAAAGATATTCATATGTTCTATGTGATGAGATAATAAACACATGTATCTTTTACACTACTATTAAATCCGATAGTTAATATAACAAAATAAAATATATTATAGCATTTCCTTGGTGACAACTTAAATCCATCAAGTGATTTCTTATGTTTGGATGTCTAATCAGGTTTTCTAATAAGAAACAAATCTTTCGAGTTGCTCATATCAATTCTTCCAAATCACCATGAAGAAACATAGTTTACACATCCAGCTAGTACAAATCCATTCTAATTTATGTTTGACTCATAAATGGTGCAAATATATGATCATATTTGATATTGTTCAATTGTGAAAACTCTTCTACCACCAAGCAAGCATTGTACCTTCCATCAAATTCACCCTTAATACAACTTACATCCAGTGGTGTGACCCTTTTATATAAAGGATCAAAATTTCATGTATGATTCTTAGAAAGAAATATGTGTTTCCTCTTGCATTACATCGAGCCATTTAAAAATATTGTTAAATTCATTGCATCATTAAGATAACATGGTTCATTTTTCACTACGTGAAGTAAACAACCTAATTGGTCTTTCTTTATCCATTTTCATTATTTTTTTGGGTCAATTGATTGCATGTGTGCTAACACATAAAGTTCTATCACTTGTATCACCCTTAGCTCTATTTTGATTCAAAATAGCTTATGTTTGAACTACCTACTCTTGTGTGTTTTTTAAATGTCTAGTATCAATCTTAGTTATCTTACGTATCATTTTACCTCGTTATTTTAACCAAATAATATATTTAATTTCATGGGGCTCTTGTTTTCTATGTCATATATTATAGACAAATACTAGACGTCCAGAACTACGAAGATAACTAAGATTAAACTTAGTCGTATGTTAAGGTTTCATGAATAAAAATTATTCATAAGACATGTCAATTTAGTGCATGAATGAGAATATTACATCCTTCTTCATCATCATGCATAAACATATAAATATGTCAAACTTTTTGAGGTTCACCAACCATTAAGACCGCATAAGGGTTTTCACACAAGGTTTGTTTTCAAAATATTCCTTCTTCCCATATATTATATGTTGGGTATTTAATGGTTAAACTAAGCATGCTTAATAAACTTTATGGAATATGCGTAAAACACATGCCAATATGATGAAATATAATAAAATAGAAGGTATTATCTGTATAAATGCATCATCATTTTATCTAAGGTAAAAAAAGACAATTAATCATTTAAATATTCATGTATGAAACATTTATATATCACATATGAACAAGATTTATACAGATGAAAGGCTAAGAAAAACATTTGAAAATTTCATGTTGATGATATGAGACTTGTGCAATTGTACTAACAAATGGCATAGACTTAACGGAAATTTGAAATTCATTTCTAAAAAACTTGATTCTCATCTATTTGCACCCTTAATCATATTTACTTGTTTCATTCTCTCCTATAAGGATATATGAATATGAAAATTACTTAAAATATGTCAAGCTAGGATTTTCAAAAGCTTACCTTTATTTGCTATTTCCAAGTTCCTCCTTGACGTTTTTGGATGTTCTAACATTTTTTAGAGTGTTTATTACTTTACGATGAAGAATAATGATCATGTTTCACTTGGCATTCCAATTAATTAGATTGCATTACTTACTTGGTTTTGGTTTCATGAAAGTTTGACACAACATGCTTTAGTTTGTATTATCGTCATGGAATCTTACTATGATGCTTTTATCCTTAGTTTGTCATCAATGGTCTAGCGATCACATGTTTTAATAATCTTTCCATCACATACTTTTAGCCTTAGTAATTCACAACTAGCTTGATTTTTCATGCTTATTGAACTTTTAGGTTTCATTTTTCATGTTTCCTTTAGTATTTTGTAGCTTTTTTAGTATTTCTTAATTTTTGTTTTACTAGTTGTAAATTGTTGTGTATAATAATCCGCCTTTAGCTACACGAGTGTTTTCTTATAAGATTTTTGTGTTTAAAATCTTTAATATCTCCATGCATTTTTTTTATCTTTCATTCCATACTTCTAAGGCTTATGTTCTCTCTAATGTGTATTCTATCATTTTACAATAATTTACAATGGTTTATTCTTTCATTTTACTATAATTAAAAAGGTTTATGTAAATATGAAAGCCTTCATACATTATCCAACTTCATCCAAATACCTTTGTAACTAGCTTCTAAACTAATTTATATTATCACATTTTCTTCCATTGATGACTGCATTGTAGTGATTGTCCATTCCTAATTTCTTTTTAGGTTATAAACCACCAAATGAACATGGTCCCCCTTGTTTCATCTTCCATTATCATTTCCAGAATTCTCTAACTTCGTTCTGTTTTTAAATTTGAAATGAAGAACTTAAATCAAGATATGATTTTATATGAGTACATGTACAAGTACCAACATTTAGTGAAACATTTGCATGCACAACTAAAATATTATTCCAAGAAATAAGAAAGTATTTGAATAGAACCACAAATACAACCCAAATGACTCCCTACCTTTGATACCATATGTTGTAATAAACGTGTCAATCTCAAATCATGATAAAGACCAACAACAATATAGAAAAAAATGAATTAAATATCCTCCTGCATTTTCTTCCTGCATATCCTCATACCTATCTTAAATGATGTCATGTAAATATTGCAGACGTGATATTTACATGACAATTGTTTGACTCATGGAACAGCGTGTCATGATGTGTTTAGCTACAAGATTTGACGTTTGGTTGGTGTTAGATAGGACCATAACAGTAGGGAGTGCGTGTTTACATTGTGATAGTATGGTCCATTAAAGGGTCAATATATTTGTTATATGTGATTTGTTTTGATAATAATCCTAGATGATTACTATTTATGTCTTTTTGTTCTGTTTCCTAAGTAGATGATCATCTTTCATTACCATTTATTGTTATATTTTATTGAGATGATTTGATAATATTTTTCAGTTACAAGCTGCAACGGTGTATCCAGAAAGAGCCAACTCAAGTAACATTGATGCAAGAACATCAAATAAATGTCCGGTTGAGGACTCCTCAGTAGGTGTTGATCCAGGTCATACTGCAGAACATTAACTTAGTGATATATGGGGCATTAACTAGTTCACCTTAACTACATTTATGAATTTTAATAAAATGATATGATACCAAAACAAAGAACGTGAATACATAAAAATGCAAGGTCCAAAAGCAAACATGCACGATGCTTGAAAAAAACAAAACAGATTACTAATCATATACAAGAAGATTCCTAAAAAAAGCAGGAAATGTGTTAATTCTGGTAACAGTTAATATGGCAACTGAAGATAGAGATATGACAAAACTAAAGATTTGGATATTAGCATACCAAACATAATTGAACCATGGATGACAAGCTGCAAGGAAGCCATTATCTTCGTTGATACATTTAGTTTTGCTCTCTGTGTGTTTCAACAGATATTAGTAAAAAAGAAGCATTTTGGAAACCTCTTGAGAAAGATCTATACTTGAAGGGACTCCAGATATATGGTAGAAACAGGTATGAGGAACTTGGTTGTTGGTATTTAGCAGTGTTTTCTGATCTGGTTCAAGTTTTGATGCCATTCATATATTCTTAATACACGAGTTATTGTTTTCCTAACTTTTTATAAACCTTTTGATGACTTACAGTTGTCTCATAACAAAAAACCTACTTCCTGGACTGAAAACTTGCACCCAAGTATACAGCTACATGTGTGATGGAGGCAACGATATGAGAAGCGGTGTAGATCATAAGGTTTATTTTCTGCATTCTATTGGGTTTTTTTCTTTCTGTCCACTATAACTAGATCATAAGAAGCAAAAGACCTCGAAAGATGGAATGGAATTACACCAGCAAAGAAAAGACATACATTGATCAAATATTGCTTAGTTTTGTTTGTTTCACAACATCAACATTTATGTTGTGTTAGGGTCAAGAAATGGCATCAAGATTGCAATTACTTGGTCGTAAGGGTAAAGCAAAGAAAATAAAGTATTCTTTGAAGTCGTCTGGACATCCACCAAAATGGAGACGAATTGCTTATGAAAAGAACCGATCAAAAAAGCAGTATACTCCATGTGAATGCAAGTCCATGTGTGGAAAGGAATGTCCTTGCGGAAAAAATTCTACTTGTGAAAAGTATTGCGGGTATGCAACTGCTTTAAGCATGTACTTCTTACATTTATCTGAGTTTGTCAAGTCTAGTACGTAATCCATCAATCACACACACATACACATTTGCATAAACTAAACCAAAGTGTGTATATGCACAAATCATCTTACATGTGTTTCTTTTGCGGAGACTAATAAATGATCTTTTAGGTGCTCAAAAATGTGCAAAAACCGGTTTAAGGGATGCCACTGTACAAAGAGTCGGTGTAGAAGCCTAAAATGCCCATGCTATGTTGCTTCACGTGAATGCGACCCAGATATTTGCCGAAATTGTTGGGTGAGGTAATGTAATATCTAATATGCATACATGGTTTATCTTTTTGTGAATTAATATTTTTAAAAAAAAAAAAAATAGTTGAGTGAATCTACTATTGATATTGCAGTTGTGGTGGTGGGTCATTAGGTGAGCCCTCAGCCCCTAGAAAAGGAGAAGGTCGGTGTGGTAACATGAGGATCCTTCTAAGGCAGCAGCAAAGGGTGAGAGCACTATGCTTTTTCTTACTCTAGATCTCCTTTTATAAATAATAATAATAATAATAATAATAATAATGCCTAACTTAATTATTCTTATTAATTGTGTTCAGATCCTTTTGGGTAAATCTGATGTTGCTGGTTGGGGTGTATTTCTAAAGGTAAGGAGGAATGTAAACATCCATATATGTTGCCTATATTAAATAACAAATTTAATGACTTGTTTGAAATTTTCATATCCCTAGAACTCTGTCCGCAAAGATGAGTATCTTGGAGAGTATACGGGTGAACTCATCTCGCATCAAGAAGCAGATGTCCGAGGGAGTTTATATGATCGTATAAACTCATCTTTCCTTTTCAATTTGAATGCTGAGGCAAGCACTTCCTTTTCATACGACTTTGTGTGTGTACTATCTCATATCTATCTATCTATCTATATATATATATATATATATATATATATATATATATATATATATATATATATATATATATATATATATATATATATATATATATATATAGTATTAATTAGCTTTTGAAACTTGTTTATACACACACACAGTATGTGATTGATGCCATGAGAAAAGGAAACAAACTGAAATTTGCCAACCACTCATCAAAGCCTAACTGTTATGCGAAGGTATATATGTTTTGTTTTGGTCTTAATTCTTCTTTAATTTGGTCCAATTATGAACCTAAGCATTGACATTGACATTGACATGCAGATAATAAAGGTGGGAGGTGATCATCGTGTTGGCATATTTGCCAAAGAGCATATTGAAGCTGGAACAGAGCTCTACTATGATTACTGTTATGAGCCTCAGCATTCACCACCATGGGCTCTCAAACCCCCTCGACCAAAGAAGCACCAATCTCATCTATAAAAAGACTTTTTTTTTTTTTTTCTTTCTGGTTGTTGGAATGAGAAGCTTTTTGAGGTCATCTTTTGGTTGAACTAGACATGGTTTGAGCAAGTGTAATAATGTTTCTTGTTGGTCATAAAAGTAGGAATGTGTTGCATAACATTGATTAGAGTTTAGAACAACAACTATATACTTGGATTGGAAGAGGAAACTGGGTGGCTATATAAAAATTGCAGCATTTAATTATGTTACAAAAGGTATCTGAATTGAATCACTGCGCACATAACTACTGTTTGTAAGCTTATTGGACTGCAGATGAAGATACAAGAGGTGATTCCAGATATCTGGAACTCCAGGCAGACACCAATGGCTGCAATCTTCCCCTTTGAAACCACTACTGCTCCCCTTTCTTCTTCCATAAATGGATGGGTGACCATCAGTTCTGTAATCTGACAAACGGGTTATGTTCAAGAAGCTGACAGGGGTTTTCATCTGCTGTATCACCTCTTCCACAATCACATTCTTTTCTGGATAATTATTGATGGTTGCAGTTTGGTGGTTGAGGGGCTGAGAAGCTTCCTTACAATGACCACCAGCATTCCAACTGCCTCCCCTGAAATGGGAAGGAGCAGAAGTTCGAAAGAAAACTTGTGTCTTTCTTGGATTGATGTATTTATCAAGCCATGATCCCCAAGTTACCATGGATTTCCTGAAAGCTGTTGACACCTCAAGATGAGGCACAACATTATCTCCTTCCTGATAGTAAGTCACCCTGTGTCACAGTCACAGTTTTAATTTTAGTAGGAGTTGAGACAAGACAAATGTGATGAAAAGAAAACGTTAATTACCCTGATTTAGTTTTGTAATGGCTCCACCAATGAGCGGTGTTGAATATGAGAAAGTCAGCTCCTTTCCATCTGGATGAGCTCCTATCAACCGTATCGATCCGCAGGGTCTGCAACCGTTTCCTTCCAACTCTTGCCTTCCCCTCATGAACCAAGAAATGGGACACATAATATTCAACTGTGCACTTGTAATCCTGTCACAACAAGAGAACTAAGTAAACGGGAATATATACCAGATCACATTTGACAAAAATCTTGATTACCTACCACAAATCTGAAACAGTAGTTTCCTTTCTCCTTGGTGATACGCCTGCCATGTGTCTCATAGACCTTCTTTGGATCTTTAACAGCACTCATTAGCAAACATAGCATGGATTCCCATTGATTCCTATTGATGGAATCACCCACAAACACTAGCCTTTTTCCTCGGATCAGTTCCAGCATGTTTGTTGCGTTGAACCTATATTAATATACAACATATATAATTCATTCAAAATCAGAACCCAACCAATGTTTGCAGCTTTATGCATATTTTGGAATCAAGGTAATCAGAGAATAACTCTCTGTGTGAAAAGTGCTTGCAAGACTAAGCATTAAAAAAAAAAAAAAAAAAAATTACCTTGGAATGTAGCAATCTTGAGGCTGCCACCTCCATTTCATATAGTCTTTGTCCAATCTTCCATTGGCCTCACAATTGAAACCTTCATCTATAAAAGGGCAAGTAAAAGTAGAGTACAGAGGATAAGTCTCATCATAAACCCATTTCCCCTTTGTAACATCACACACCGTTTCACCCTTTTCTTCCTGAAAATCACTTGTGTGAACTCCTTCACTTATCGACTTCAAAAACAATCCTTCAGAGACCAAATCCTCGGATTTATTTTGAGGAATCGTGTGATTCGTAGCTATCGAAGTATGGATATGAAAATCTGAAAGTTTAGTAGCATTTACAGCATCAATCTTGTGTGGTTCCAGATTTGGCCGTTCACTCTCACTTGATTTTCTCTGAAATTCATGAAAGCTGAAGGAAATGTTGGCACTTTCTGATGTATTCAACGGTTTACCGAAATGGGTTTGATTAAGATTTGCCACTAAACGTATTGGAAAGTTGGAAACGAAGGGTTGGGAGTGGACTTGAGAGGGGGGTTGAATCTCACTGAACTGAAAACGGGTTTCTCGATTGATGAGAAAGGGATCACTTTTGAAAACCCAAATAGAGAAAAATGTAAGAAAGATGATGGAGAAGGAGATAGTTAAAGAAAGTACAAAGAATCTTGTGCGTTTGAAGGAGAAACTTCTTTGTTTCTCGATGGCCATTTTGGGAGTGTGAGGGTGAGGATGAGAGGTTCAAGAAAAAGGTACACATGGAGATGGAGTATGAAGATGACAGAAGAGAACCGACAGTGACAGTGAAGGGAAGCAGAAAATTAAGGCGGAGTGGTTCGTATGTTGCTCATATTATAATAATTTTGAAATGTTTATGTTTATGTTTATGCTTATGCTTATGCGTATGCTGGTGGCAAGCACATGCGTCTTCTCGTCGATCACAAAGTCATCCCTTCCTTAATCCTTATCGTTTCTTTTGTTTTCTTTGTTTTTTTCTTTGTTTTTTGGTAAATAGTAAATACACCTACCTGGAACTTGTGTAGTTACCATGGGAATCACATGATCACAACCTAAAATAAGATGACCTTGAGACTTTGTATTATATGAGCAATCATCACAATCTGCCTCATTCAGAATTCAGAAAGAAAGGCTGGAAATTAAATTAATGCTAATATTTGTAACCATCCATTATATTCATTTGGTAGGGATTTGGTAAGTTCATGATATTTGACATCACCATCACAGATCCTTATTACTCTGCCATAATTGAATTTTAGTCCAGACTATTCTGTTTATATAAACATACAATACAAGAAAATAGTTTATTGTCAAAATTGCAACGTCGCTTATAAAAAGTTACATGACATGTTTAAAATCTGGATCCGATTGTCACTTTAATATTTGGAAACAGGGTACGGAAATTAGCCCAATAATTTAAATCCATTTAATTATTTCATCATTAAATCTGGTCCCACACGCGAAATGCCAATCTCCTGACCTTCAATTGAATTATCCATAATTTGTCCAATAATTTTCATTTTTTTTTAATATTCAATTAAACTATATATCATATCACCAACAAATTTATTAGCTAGGGGTCCCAAAAATCAGAAGTAACTGAAAATCCGTAAACAAAAAGTGTATAATCTTAGATGTATCAATCGAGGGATAATGATTTGAAAGGGTAACGAACTTTCGACTTTTGTCATATTTAGTCACTAAACTTTTTTTTGTTATCTATTTGCCATTGAACTATTGAAACTGCTCATATTTTACCCTTATGACCGGCTGTTACCGGTCATAAGGGTAAAATGTGAACAGTTTCAATAGTTTAGTGGCAAATAGATAACGAAAAAAAGTTTAGTGACTAAATGTGAACAAAATCGAAAGTTCATTTCCCTCTAAAAAGTTCAATGACTAAATGTGAACAAACTTCCTATTGTATTATGTTTTGGCAAATTATTTATTTTTGTTTAATTGTAGCAACATTTATTGATGAAGAAATCTATGAAATAAAAAAACAAAATGTAACATCCGGATTTCCAGATATCGTAATTTAAGTATTTTTCTTTTGAGTTAAGAAGAGAGACTCGACGAGTTTACGCCTCAACTCGTCGAGTAAGGTTGCGACTGATGACTCGGATTAATGAATGGACTCGACGAGTCGGTGAGGCGACTCGACGAGTCCGCGTTGTTGGCAGAAACCCTAAATCTTTGGGCCCGAGCCATATTTAAAGGCACTTATGGCCTTCAATTGCGACTACCTTTCCTATAAGTGAGAACCCTAGCGAGCTTGAGTGTGTAGAGTGAAAGGAAGAGCTATCTTGAGCTTTTTGGTGTGATAGATCTGGACCCTTCTAGGTCCAGAGAGCCGAGAATATGAAGCTTTAGTAGAGTAAACCTTGGGGTTCGAAGTTAGGAAGCATTTATGGGATTTTTATGGTATATATAGTTATTTTCATCTTACACATAGATATGAAGTATTTTATATAAATTACGTGCTATGTGTGCATATTATTTGAATACTTGTTGTCTATGCTGGATGAACGATTTTATACATGTTTTAAAAGATTTAAACGGTATATTTATTTTATATCTACAAATATGTTGCAGATGAAACATGGGTAGATGAAATAGTTGGTGTGTGATGAAATAAAATGATGAGAGATAAGTGATGGTAGAAAGGTGATGATAATTAGGTAAATAGATGATGATGAATATGTGATGTAGGATGAAAGGAGATACCATAACCTTAACCGAAAATGTGGCGATGTAGTCATCTACCAGAGTATAGATGACGACCATGGACTATTCTAGACAACCCAGTGGAAACACCAGAAGGCCCATAACCTGTAGGTGATGAATTACGAGTTTAGGCGATGTTGTAACTACGTATTCATGCGATGATACTCTAACCCCTTACTATGAATTACGAGTTCAGACGATGTTGTAACTACATATTCATTGGATGTCACAAATTCTGCATGTCAAACTAATGGTCATAATTCACATCAGTGAGAATGATTTATTTTTTTGTAAAACCAAAATCAGATTGGAAATTTTGATTTTTTATTTTGGAAAATGTCAAACCATTGGTTTTTTATTTCGGTTTTAGTTTTTTGTTTTTTTTACATATATTTTCAGTTTTTTTTTTTTAATATTTTTAATATTTTTTATTTTATAATTTCATAGATTTCTTCATCAACAAATGTTGCTACAATTTAACAAAAATAAATAATTTGCTAAAACATAATACAAGAGAAAGTTTGTTCACATTTAGTCATTGAACTTTTTAGAGGGAAACGAACTTTCGATTTTGTTCATATTTAGTCACTAAACTTTTTTTCGTTATCTATTTGCAATTGAACTATTGAAACTGTTCACATTTTACCCTTATGACCGGCAACAGCCGGTCATAAGGGTAAAATGTGAACAGTTTCAATAGTTCAATGGCAAATAGATAACGAAAAAAAGTTTAGTGACTAAATGTGACAAAAGTCGAAAGTTCGTTACCCTTTCAAGTCATTATCCCTATCAATCGAATATATTCTGTCTATTCATCACATAAAA